AATCGTTCATATTTAAGATCAATTTTTTGGTCTAGGAAGCCATTTGTTAGGAGCCAAAAGAATATTACCAATGGTTGTCCAAGGTCGATTTCATCTCTTGTTCTGATCCTCTCCTAGAGAACACAGCGCTTGAGCAATAAGACGTGTTTTATCATATCTGGAGGGAGACCATGGGCTTGAAACCAGAAGGGGGAGTGTGTAAAATCCATTTCTGAGGTCCGGGTGTTCGGATACCATTGTTTAAGTACTATATTAGTCGCCCTTTCAGTGACCAAAGGCTTTGGTTAATCAATCTTTGCTTCAAGTCATTAGATGCAAATGTGAAGATATATGTATCTTGTTTTCCATCTTGAATTTCTACCTGGTTCTTTACTTTCCAGAATTTCTTGAATATGAACTGTAAGGGGTAGAAATCGCTACGGATCTCATCCCTCCACTTGAAGGATTCCGGCTGACCTGGCGGCACCGAGCCCCAGTAGCCTTTACCTCTCTTTGCTAATAGGACCCTTTCCTAAGGCAATCCCACATCGGAAGAGAGTCGTTTTTTCCCCTCGCATATAAGCCCTTGCACTCAAAGGAGGAGGTATCCACTAGGCACCTGATCAAGTTACTAGTGGGTACCTTCTCCTTTAAGTGCAAGAGCTTATATGTAAGGGGGAAGACGACTCTCTTCCGATGTGGGATTGCCTTAGGAAAGGGTCCTATTGACGAAGAGAGGTAAAGGCTACTGAGGCTCGGTACCGCCAGATCAACCAGAATCCTTTAAGTGGAGGGATGAGATCCGTAGCGATTTTTACCCCTTACATGAACTTTACAACATTATGGTTGAGTAGCTTGTCTAAGAGAACTTTTTCCACCAATCATGACTGTTTGAGAAAGTTTGCAATGGAGTTATCCGATAGCAGTTTGATGGTGATTGGCTTAGGAGAGGGTATAATCTGGCTACACTGTGCATCTGACATCCTTTCTCGTTCACAGGAGGGTTGAATGTTTTATGCTCCGTTTCAAAAAATAAAATGGTGAAAAGTTGGAAGAATAAAAAGTTAGAAGAATAAATAAAATATTATATTTGGTAAAAAAAGAAAGGAAGAAGTATGAAAAAGTTGATGGTTTAACTTTCTTTCTAACTCACCAAAATTAATCCCTCCAAAACTAGAAAGAAAGTGAGTGAAAAGTTAATTATTTGTATTGAGATTTATCTTATTTATCTATATATCTTTTTATATATAAATATATTATGTATATATTAATTTCATATAAAAATACAATGATAAAATATGTGTATATATATATATATTAAAAAATTTTAAAAATAAATTAAAAAATAAAAATAATAAAAAATAAAAATTTTAAAAATAAAAATTTTAAATTAAAAAAAAAATATTTTTTTCATATTAACTAATGACACGACTCAAACTCGATACAAAAATAAACAGGTCAACTCATAACTCGACACGACACAATTAGTTAAATGAATTAAGTTAGATTTGACTAATATTCGACACAAACCCGTAATGACTCAACACGAATCTGACACGACGCGACTCGATTGTTATCCTTAATCTTAGCTGGCACAAAAAAAAATAGTTATTTTTATTTTTTATCCATCCAACCAAATACAAAGGAAGAAAAGTGTATCCTTCCTACTTTTCATCCTTGAAAAATAGAAAATTTATCCCTCATACTTTCCATCGTCTTTATCAAACGGAGCATTAGGATTTTTGTTGTTTGTGTATTTGTTTGTTGATGGGTTTTCAGAGTGTAGGAGAGAGGGGACTGCAAGTGTGCTTAATGGTTGGTTAAATTTGAGGAGGCGGTGTATCGAGTAGTCAGAGTGAGAAAGGTGACAAATGTGGGTTGAGATTTCTCATAATATATGGTGGGAATGGGAAACAGAGAAGGAAATGGGGTTGAGAGATCTCATATCTTACCTTGGGATTGGGAAGCCTACTGGATAACGAGGAAGGATGAATGACCTTCACTAGGTTATCTCCATTGAAGGGGGGGTCTAAAGATAGACAGCATTTGTCTCCCATGGTTTGAACTTGAATCTTTTCTTTTGGTGCAAACTTTGCTTTCTAATTTAAGGAAAATACTATTTGGAATCCAAAAGGTGACACTATTTGTTGGCTCTATCGATCACAATTATTAAATATGTAATGAATTTCAATAAATGCTAGGATCTATAATTAAATTAATGATAGTGATTAATAGAGTCATCAACTAATATTAATTTTTGGAATCCAAATAGCATTATTCCTAATTTAAAGACTACATTTACAGTTTTTTACTCAGTAACTCTGAGATATTCGGTTGAGTAATGTCATACCGGCCGAAAAAGAGCACCAAAACTAGAGCTCAAATAAACAGATAAAAACATTGATGTTTCAATGCCACGTCATTTAGTCTCTATGTCTCATCTATTTTTTTTTGTTAGTGTAGCATTACTCTAGTCGATTTATGCATGTGAATTTTTTTTTAGATTTTTTTCACTTTTTAGTACCCAAAAAAAAAAAGAAAAACAAATTTGTTTGCTAGCAATTTTCTTGTACTACTTTTTTTTCTTTTCCTTTTTTTTTTTTGGTGTTGTTCTTAGTTTTGTGTTTAGTTTATAATTCTCGGTTGTAAAATATCCACATTTTTTTTATTTCATGTATCGTTGGATTCGTGACTATCATGTTTTTTTTTTTTTTTTGACCAAAGTGACTATTGTGTAAAAGCTACTACGCAAGATATGTATGGTTATGCTTATACCTAAATTGCACGCATCGGACCAAGTAAGACATGTGAGATCAAATTTAAAATCTCGAGATATTAATCATTCCCTAGTGTATTATGGATGGCAGTTCAATTGAAATTTGAAAAAAAATAAAAATAAATAAGAGCCTGTTTGATTTGCGTTTCAAAAAATAATATCCGAAAACAGTTTTTAATAAGAGTTTTAAGAAAGTGCATTTTGATGTTTTCTGAGATAAAAAACTTATTTTGTTAGATGATTTCATAAACAATTTTACAGAACAAAAAATAGTAAAATCTGTTTGGACAACTTAAATATATGTTTAAACAGTAATTCAAAAATTAAAAAAAAATATAAGAAAATTATTTTTAGATTGATAATTTCATAAAAAAATTCAATAAACCAAACTTTAAAATAAACCAAACATATTCAATAATATTCATCAAAAAAAATATATAAAAAAAAAATATATCAATGACATTCATCTAAAATAAAAAAAAATATGCGAACACCAATAATTTTTTTTTCCAAAAAAAAAAACAAATAACATCGAAGAATACTCAAACAATCACACAATATATATAAATATACACAAAAAATATATATATATATAGACACACACACACACACACTCACTCACACAATACACACACACACACACTATATATATATATATATATATATATATACAGACACACAAAATCCACACAATACACACACAGTCCATATACACAAAATCCACACACACGCGCGCGCGCGCGCGCACACACACACACACATATATATATATATATATAATAAAACATGAGTGTGTTTGAATTTTATCCCAGTCATATTTTTCCCCTCGAAACCATCACCAATCACTTATCTCACCCGTCATCCTTTTGTCAGACTCAAACGTCAAATCACATCACTCATTTCTATCATATATTTAATCATTTATATATTTTTTTCATAAAAATATCATATCACTCATTTCTATCATATATTTAATCATTTAATATTTGATTAATTTATAATTAATATATTTTGAAAAAATTTAATATAATGGAATCAATTTTTTGGACGCTTGAATTTTATATTTTATCGTGCCTTCAGGCACGGGTTATGACTAGTATATATATACACATCACCCAAATTTGAAGAAGATCAACACATATTTGAAGGACGTTGGAGTCGACATTGGAGCAAACACAGATCTGAACCCAAATTACGTAAACTTTTCGCCGGAGTGTGAAGAGAGAAAGATGAGAGAGAGAAAGAGAAAGAGCCAAAAAAAAATAGAGAAAGACAATAATTTTTTTTTTTGAGCAATGCTATACGGACCTTATTTGGAAGTCTAATTTAGGGACCTAATGATGTAATTTCAATGTAACAATTGAATTAGTTATGAGTTTCAATGTTAAATGGAGCTCATAACCAATCCAATTGTTATATTAAATTAGGTCCCTACATTAGGTCCAAATAACATTTTTCTTTTTCTTTTTAATATTTGGATATGTTTTGTTGCTAAAAAAGTTTGAAGGGGAGATCTCATTAATGAGGAGTGGGTTGTTCTCCGTGTTCTCACATTCACATTTTCTTTTCTTTTGTCTGTAAAACACATAAAACAAGTTGGGCTTATTTTCAATTTTTTGTTTTCTANTTTTCTTTTGTCTGTAAAACACATAAAACAAGTTGGGCTTATTTTCAATTTTTTGTTTTCTACGTCTATCTTTTCCTAAAATTTGGAGAACAAAAATTCAAACCAAACAAGTTTCTCTTGGTTTTTAGAAATTTGAGATCAAAAAATTATTTTCAAACTTAAACCAACCAGGCCCTAAAGATCTCAAAACCAATAGGCCTGATAGTAATAGATACAAAAACGTAAATAACATTATAATATATGAAATTACATAGCGGATCAATGGTTAGGCTGGAAATTGTTGAACCATTGAACCTTGCATCACCTAAACTGTGTTTTACTAAGCAGCCAAGCTTACACCCAAATATCCCAAACTTCAACCGAGGTCATCCATTAGCTAGGGTCAGGTGGTCTCCTCTAATTACGAGTACGATTTCATAAGACTTGAATGAAAGGATCGACACAGCTTGAATCCAATGTAAGAACTTCAATCAACATCCAGTTCTCCGTATTGATTAAATACCTACTTAAAAGCCAAAAAAAAAAAAAGAAAAGAAATAGAGGGAGAGAATTTGGAATAATGAAAAATACAAAGTCATTCCCAATGGTTCCAAAAACCCACAATCAATCTTCACCTAATTACCTCCTCTTGTTCTTGCTTCCAAACAACAAAGTAAAGTAAAACATAAGTCTGAAGAAAAACCCCAAAGCAACAGTGATCCACAAGCAACCCCATTTGTTTATATCAGTCACCCCAGTTTGCTTCAGTATATCCAGTCCTGTGGTCAGGCATGTCGAGCTAGTAATGTTGGTGCCCAAAGTATGGCTCATCGTCTTCAATAGCTGAAGCTTTACCGAGTTGGGAACAGCCCCTAATGGCGAATTATCGAATACCTGAATTCCCCTGACAAAACACTTGGCCGGATCATCAAACTCGTTTTGCAACACTCCTTGGTACGGATACTTTACTAGAGAAGCATAATGGAACCATAGCCAGTAAGGAGGGATTCGATCTCTGCTGATGAAGAAGCCACTGAAGAGGAGAAAGTAGGCTAAAATGGCGACCACAACAGTGTAACCCAACATCACATGAGAGACAATACCAGAAAGGAATGTCACGAAGGAGCTTCCGGCCCAGAACGAGGCGAAAGTGAAGAAGAAGAAGAACAAGTACCCGGAAAACCCGCCGGAGAGACCCACAGCCCAGAAGGTAATTGCAGAAAATGAAAATGAAAGGAATAGTAAAGAAGGAATGGAGATGATAGAGTGAGCAAGAACATATGATGAACGGCGATATGCATTATAAGCAGTCTCTCTCATGAAGATGTATCGTTCTTGAAGAAAGACTGGAATGGCCTCTGCACAAGTGTAGAATATTGTTGACATAGCAAAGGCGAAAAACCCAAGTCTTTCTTGAATGCCTTTTGGGGAATTATCAAGCTTCCAGAACATGGTGGCTAAGATTATGCCGGTCACCATGACAGCGCCTAATCGGATTCCAAAGAGCTCTGGTGATCGCCATGAGTTTTTCAGTGATCTTTTGCCGATCACAATCATTTCAATTAAAAGAGGATTGGCAAACCTTGGGACAGAAGATGAGAGGTTGGAGTCTACGTTTGTTGCTCCAGAGACTAGCTTTCCTCTTGAAATGCTTGCACTTATGGCGTTTTTGAGAGAGAGTTTTGGCCCAGTGGATGTGTTGATTCGAGGGTTATTTTTTTTTTGCCATGACTTGTTGAAATCAGCCAAATTTTTGGTTCCACCATGAGTGCCTTCGAGCTCTCGAATGAAATCAAGAGCAAACTCAGTTCGATCCTCGTTTTCTGGAATTGGGTTTCCGAACTCAGCAAAGAACTCAGGCAGACCGGACGGCGAGCCACTGTAAACCGTATGTCCTCGAGAAAGAAAGATCAAACGGTCGAGCAAGCTGAGAATTCTGTAACTGGGTTGATGAATTGACATGATCACAATGCTTCCGCTTTGAGCTATCCTCTGTAAGACCTTCACCACCATATATGCACTAGTGGAATCAAGCCCCGATGTGGGTTCATCAAGAAACAAGACAATTGGGTCGTGAATGATATCAATTCCGATCGAAACTCGACGTCTTTCGCCGCCGGAAACTCCTCTATGGCCTTCGTCTCCGATCACTGTCTTGGCCGCATTTCTCAGGCCTAATTGATCGATCAAAGCTTGGACTCTTGCTTTCTTCTTCGACTTTGATAGAGTTCGAGGTAACCTGAACTCCGCCGAGAACATGAGCGTCTCTTCCACGGTTAACATCGGAAACAACAAATCATCTTGCATAACATAAGCTGATATCACCTTAAGAAGCCTAGACTCCAAAATCTCACCGTTTAAAGTCACTGTTCCCTTCAAGCTTTCTCTAGCAATACGATCGGCAAGTGCATCAATCAACGTTGATTTTCCGGACCCACTAGCCCCAAGAACCGCCATGATCTCTCCTTCCCTCGCTTCGCCGGAGATGTCATTTAATAGCACCTTCGTGCGAGCCATATGAATCATAGCGTCCGGTGATTCATGCATACTTGCCGACCTGAAACACGAAGGAATTGACATTTTCCTTTGAACTTTGACGCTGTATGTAAGGTTTTTGAAGGAAAGAACAAAAGGGTATGATGTGGGTCCAGAGACTGGATCATTAAGATCAAGAATATGGTACTCCGGCGAGCAACCGGTGGAGTCGCCGACTAGCTGTAAGAGCTCACCGAGCGTCATTGACCCTTGACGTTTGGGTTTTCTGGTGAGTTCTTGAAGCTCCATGGTGTGTCTTGGACCCAAAAATGGAAGATCACTGTCGACCGACATGTCATCACCGCCGATCCGAAACATTTGTGTTGGTTATGTTGTTAGGTTGGGCTTGAAACTCTACGATATAGCAAGCAAAGAAAGAGATAGAGAAGAGAAGGATTTCGGAGTTGAATTAGTGTGCTTTGGTTAGAAACAAATCTCGTACTGTTACCAAATGTACATCGTTTGGTTTTGGCAATTCTCTATGTATGTGTGTGTGTATATTTGTAGGTATTTTGTGCTTATATTGGTTGGTTAGTTTCGTGTGGTGTTGATGTTATTAAGTTCAGTAGGTGAGAAGTTGCACTGCCATCCACTACTACTTATTTCGGTTGAGTACCAAGTCCAAGCTCACAGAGAGAGAGAGAGAGAGAGAGAGAGGCACTAGTCGTCTTGGATCTGCTACCAAGTCTACCATGAGGTTTCTTGCGAAGCAATACGAATCAGAGTATACAAAGGCCAACACAGAAAAGAAAAAAAAGTTAGAATGAAGCTTTCGTTTTTTGGTGTTGGGTTTACGCGTAATTCAATTAAATTTTTTCAAAAACATGTCATCCTTATTAGAACTATAATATTTTTAAGTGTTTGACTTTAAAAAATTATAAAAATTCGAATTCATGATGTCTGTATTTAGAACTCGTCATTATTATCATTGAATGTAGATTCTATCTGATTAGAAATGATGAGTTCTATCTTCTTTTTACTCCAAACTTGGTCGAAATAAATCTAGTATGATATTAAACAAATAGTTNCTATCTGATTAGAAATGATGAGTTCTATCTTCTTTTTACTCCAAACTTGGTCGAAATAAATCTAGTATGATATTAAACAAATAGTTTTTTTTCCATGATTTAGAAGATATTTTATTTTTTATTTTTTCTAATAATTGAAACTATATTGTAATCGAATGTACTTTATACGTACTAACACCAACTTTGAACATCTACTATCACCCACATTTATAAAAGATGGATCAGCATAGACTTGGCATCTTGTGTTTTATTAGTAGTTGCACAATTAGTCCAACAAAGGATCGCTGCAGATGTAAATCACACGTCTTCAGTTTGAGTTTCTCTAAACGGGTGACAAATAAAAAAGTTTATTATGTTAATTCGATCTTATCCAACCCGATTCGTTTATTAAAAAAATTAAATGAGTTGTGTTATCTAGCCTGTTTAATAAACAAATTATATTATATTTAAACATTTTCACTCATTTATTTAAACGAATCATGTACGGATTTATAAAGTTTCTACACGAATCTAATTACGCCCAGGTCAAAACCATTGAACCCGACAAAGTTGAGACCCTTAAGTCTCTGTGAACACTAGGACAAATATTACTAATCATTAACTGATGGCTAGATGGTGACCAACTCCTCCTAATATTTCCTCCACACTCCACTCCACTCCACTCCTTCACGAAATCCAGTTTTCAAACCCCGATGTTTGGATTGATAGAATTCTTTGACTGCTCTTTAGCAATATTCAAATATTATCCTCAGAATCTGGGCTTACAGTTGGTGTGGGTGTTCATCTGCTATGGACTAAAAAACTGTTAACTTAATTAAAAAAAAATTAATGAGTGAGAAATTGAGAATCTATCACACAAGAGAGATACAAAGTGGTGTATTTATATTTGAATCGGCATGAACTTGTCCGGTGAAACTAAGGGATTTGTGGTTCTTGTATTTTAGAACGGTGTCGATTTGGAGAGAAATATATTGAATTCGCTCTTACCAAGTGTAAGCGAATTTTTTCACTAATATAAGGCGTCTTTAAAATGAGTTTTTGGTTTTGGTTGGCAAACATTATACATCCTCCACTATGCAACCCATCTGTCTCGGGCGAATTGCTTAATTTACCAGTTTTTTTCTATAATGAAAATTCTTACCCACTTATGTGAAACACAGAAAAAAGTTGACCACACAAAGAAGTTCTTTACTTGAATTTATTAGAGAAGTTAGCAGACAAGTTTGGTAGATGCTGAAGGTGATTTTAGGTGAAAAGTAATACTTTTACATCCAAGAACCGCGAAGGCGACGAGGATCCCATGAATACAATACATGAATAATGTTAAACTATTCATTTCTTTTTCAATGGTTAGAGTTTTCCGGACCTACTTACGCGCATTTTGACTAATATCTTCTTCGGTCGAATTAAAAATAGATCTATGCCGGGACTAGAATATTCATGAAAAATAAATTCATCATGGTCTAGTCTTAAGAGATTGTCAAAATTCGAACTCAAAACGTCTGAGTTTATAGTTCATCTCTATTACTACCTGAATTACCCTTTGGGGTTTTTGTAAACTATTGTTTATGCATAAGAAAGTTAGAATTAAACAAAATTTCAGTCTATAATGAGTTTGAGGAGAGTTAAATAATAGATAGTACCTTTTTTTTTTGTTTTCTATAGATTGATTTTTGAATTCTAACTTCTGATGTATTGTTTTGACAGATGAATACTTGTTATTTCTTGAGGTCGAACCTTTTAAGTTATTAAGGAATATATCTTACAAAAAATTAAAGATGCAATCATGTTGCTGGGTGATTTCAATATGTTGTTGGTCCTTCTTAGAATTTATTAGAAGAACAAAATGCTGTCAACTGCTCGTTTAGAACTTTCACATGCATCACAATGCCTGCCACTAGAATCTTTCATGATCAGCTTAACCATCCAACAAATTATTGGATCTCATAATTTTGTTTTTCTCACTTGTAAAGACTGACCATTTAATGTATAGTTTGGTCAAAAGCATCATAAATTAAATGAAGCATATGAGTATAATATGGGTAATTGGAATAGAAAGAGTTTTGTGCTGTAACCAAGGACGAATCTACAGTGGGAGCAGCTGCCCCACTGAAATTTTTAAAAAATTTGGGACTTAGGTAAAATTTTGAAATTTTCAAAATTTTTTAAATCTTTCCCCTTCTAAAATTTTTAAATCTTGCCCCCCACTAAAATTTTTATAAAGTATAGGGTCAGTGAGTGTATTTTTCAATATCAAAACATAACTTGCCAACCTTAATTTTCACGCCGTCTTCTTCGATTCTTCGTCGAAGTACAACTTTCGGTTCTTGTCCTTTCTTCACCGGTCTCTCTTCTTTCCTTTGCTATATTAATTAATAAATTGACTTACTTGATTGTTGGCTCCCGTTAGGTTCCCATCCCTCTCTCAATAACGTTGATCATAAGGGACTCTTCAGTTAGGCACCCGCAGTCCCAATCTTAGTAAAATAATTCCACTGGTTGCAAATCTACTTTTATTATTGAAGAAACCTTAGAAGATAATGTCGAAGCTATGGAGAGATAACCCATTAACCATAAAAAAAATTCCAACTAATCACAAATCTGCTGCTGATGAAAGCCTCAGAAGATTATGTGAGAGCTGTCTAGAAGTAAACCAATAACCCATTAAAAGTTTCTAAAGATTTTGAGAGAGATATTTTGGTCCATAACAAAATATAGTGATTTTTCTGTCAAACTATTTTTTTTCTATTTCTTTTGTTTTTGAATTTTCATTTAGTTGTGTGTTAAGTGTGGTTAAAATGCCACAGACAAAACTATTGTAGAACGAGTAAAGTATATTAGTAAAAGTGATTGTGTATAAGCCCTAAGAAAATTATGGACTGCCCAAGATCAAAAGGTTGTAATTTTTAAATATTTTATTGAAACTATTGCAAATTAACAGGAAATAGTTGGTCAATGAGCATTGACCTTGATTACCCTGTGCCCATACAACTACATTCTTTCTACCATTGCCATTTTTTTTTTTTTGGCAAGTACCATTGCTACTTTTTAAGCTAGATTCATGATACGTTATTAACTCAAGTTTGTGTGGTAGAATCATTGCAACGTTGCAACTCACATCAACGAAATTTTTTTTAAGTGTGATGAGAACAATATGGAGTTTGATGCTAAGAAATTGGTTTAATGAGGCGGTGCTATAATTATTTTATTTGTAATAAAATTTGTGAGGTTGAATTGAAGGCTTATCGCCTTCATGAGTTTTGATAGTTGTCATTCGAAATTAGTCATCTCTTAAACTTGGCTTACTCGTCACTCTTTTTTCAACTATATAATTCTTCGATTTTATTAGTTATTTGAAATTTTAATTTGGGTTACATTTTGAATTAAGCAATTAAAAATTTGCCTATTATGACTTACACTTTAGATTAAAATGTTTCATTGATTGGTTTGAATAATTTGCTAGTGATTGATTAAATTGTTCCTCAATCTTAGTTCAGTTCTATATTATTTTTGTTAAATTTGTTTAGTTTTTTTTGGTTGTTTAAGCTCTACATAAATTGTTTGTTAAAAAGTCAAGGATAAACTATTGAATTAGAGTCCAACTAGAGCAGTTAACAAGTTTTAAGTTGCTCCCACTACATAACCATCCAAGCTCCGCCCCTGACTGTAACTTATGAAAAACAAGTTATCAAATGTCTATAATATATATTTGGGACACAGTAACATATCGAAACTCTCAAGCTACAAGTCACTACGAGAAAAAACAGTTTTTGAGTCGGCACAAATAGTCTGCTTGTCGATGTAAGTACTATTTGCCTTGGGAAATACACTATTTGAGTTGGTGAAAAGAGCGAAGAAAAAAAAAAAAAGCAATTCAAAAAGTATTTGCCGACGCAAAAAAAAAAAAAAACATTGAACGCCATATCCACCTTCACAACCCAAGAACTGGTGATGTCTCACGTACCATATTTTTTAATTTTCTTTAATAATAGATCACCTTTTATGCATTCAACTAAAACCTAGTGTATATATAAAATTTCATTTTGAACAAAATAAGATATGTCATCTATAATTAAGTAATTAAAAAAAATTATAAGGAAGACATTCTAATCCACGCAGACCGCAACCCAAAAAAATATGTTGTGTTTCTAAGATCCAGCAGCAGAAATAGTGGTCATTAGTCCACCGTTAACTTCACCTAAATTCTCATTAACTGCATTGAGTGCATACTCCCAAATGCTGAAAATGGTTGGTGTTTATGTAACCATCAAAAATAAAAAGGTATATATTCTTAACTGTAAAAGGCTGCTTGTTAATTTTGCAAATAATTAATTAGGCTAAGGTCTTTTCTTTAGAGTGTAAACTAATTTTAATTATATCGATTTTTAGTATAAAAAAAGGTCCACTATTTTTTTTTTAAATATGATATGCGGTCTTTGGGCTAGCACGAATATATGTAGGAGTTAGGTAGTCATTGTTTTTCATTATTCATTTTACCCCTATCACATGATTTCAACCTTAAATACAGTTGGTTTCCTTTTTTTGCATTTGTTATTGAGTATTTTTTGAATTCTGTCTATCTTTTTGAATTTCAAATTCAGCAACCCAACAGCTTAGAATATACTCGGTTGCATATTAATCGTTAATTTGGTAAGTGCAATAAGTAGATATACAAGTTTTACGTATTTTTTAGTAGGTGTGTAGACACATTAACGATATTTATTTTAGTATACATGTCTGACGATTATTACGTACCTGTTATTTTTATGAAGAAGAAAGTATATCTACGATTTGTGTTTTAATGTACTAATTGTCTAACAATCTTTGTTTTAGTGTACCTGCCTAAATATTATTGCATATTTGTTATTTTTTATATATTTTTTTATTGCGTACGTGTTATTTTTTGGCTCAAAAGTATATATATTTAATTATGTACTTTTTTTAAGCATACTTGTTTTACGATTTGTGCTTATAGAGAAAAATACACATTATGATGATGTAATTTTTTAAAATAGGTCTTTGAATTAGGTGATAACATTTTCGTTATTTTTTATAATTGTAAAAGGTATTAGTTATATTAATTGCTTTGATTTTTCAACATGGACTTAATCTAAAAAAAAAATTTGACAACTAATTTTTTTTAAATCCTATTGAGCCTAGGACCCACCTCCAAATATCCCTTTTGCAAAACCTGAAAAATCTTAATGCTAATTAAAAATTCAGTACCTTTATGTGTCACCTTTGTCTTTTATGAGCTGTGATAATGTACTCATTCAAGTATTTGTGAAAGAAATACAATCACCGGCTAATAGATTCCCTAAATAAAAGGGGGAGAAAATATATCACCAATTAATGATATCAAATCAAATACATAAATTGGTTCGACCATAATTAATAATCAACCTTCCAAATAAGTAAATAACTATCTATTTTTGCTTCATGTAAGTAAATAATTACCTAAATAAGGTTCATCTTATTCATTTGATATTTTATAATTAATTAATGAGACCACGTCAACATTCCTGTATTCAATATTTACTCCCTATAGGGGGTAGTAGAAACCCAATTTTTTGGAAGAAAAAATTCATTAAAACGTTGATACAAAATGACAAGAAGATGTGGTATCACCAACCAATAATATTAAAATAAATAAATAGACTCCTACAAAAATTAATAACTAACCCACCATTTAAGCAAATAATTTCACACTCTTCTATCAAGTAAACACAAGTGAGGTTCATCTTATTCATTTAAGATTTTATTATTAAATAATAATACTATGTCACCAATATCGCAATTACATTCAATATTGCGAATTGTGGGGAAGACTTCGGCGCAGAAAATTTTTCGCCGCCCAATGGGCAGGTTTGTTGTTCTGTCTAGGGGTGTGGGTGGGAAATAGTTACGTCACCTTCATTTGTCCACATACCTAATTCCTCAACCTCTGCGTCTTTTATTTTTTTGTTGTTGCTGCTGAACCTGTGCGTCTTATGCTTCACTATCTTGAAGATAAGAACTTGTTTGTTTCCTGTCTTTATGGGTAAATTTTATTGGCACCCCTTAAATTTATGCATAATTTTAGAGATACCTCTTGTTTTTTTGAAATACCAGTGCACTTCCTTATAGTTCATACATCCGTTTCAATAAGTGCCCCTATTGTCTTTGACGTTATTGACAAATCAAAAAACAATGATGTCATACAATATTTATTTCATAATGACAAATTTTCCCCTGAATAAAGGGACTATAAAAATCGTTTTCACCCTCTTTCTTGTGTGTTCTTTCTCTTTTTTTTCACTCATCCTCACTGAGACGTCTACAAATCCCCCC